AAACTGTTTCTTTTTTGTTTTGTCTTAATTTCTTTTATACATCATTCTAGCTTTATTAGTATTTGATAGAACATGTGGCAAACGATTAGTAATTCTATTCTTTAAATGATATAAATTTTTGCATTATGAGTTATAATGAACGAAATATAAACTGTTAAGTGAATCTAGTGCCAGAGTGTCGCTATGGTAAACAAATACTAGAGTGAATTTTAAAGAATGTATTTATTCTATTGTGGTTTATGCGCTGTCGGCGAAGTAGATTTAATTCAATCCAATATATTTAAATGAAATGCAAGAAAAAATGCGTATAATTTAATATTCCGAACAAGGAAGTCATGTGGTGTACACATCAAATTTTTTCTTTCTATGAATTTCCTTCTCCTCTCTTCTTAATTCCTTGTACCTTTCCTCTGCATTTCTAGTGCAATGTCTTTGAATCATTAGTCTATATTCCTCATTCTTAATTTTTGTAATCTCACTACATTCCCCACCAAAGCAATGATTACGTTTGCTAGCACTTTGCATCAGTAATTAGAAATTTGTTTAGCCTTGAAATTGCAGCTGCTGCAGATAAATTTTATAAAAAAAATGCCTTACTTACAATAAAAAAATGCAAAAGAAATCGCTCCTTATTTTTGATAGGGAGCACAAGCAAGATCAAGTAAAATGCAGTAGGAAGGAGATAAGGTAATTAATAATGATTTTTAAAGATCAGACGATTAAAACACTCACTGAAAGAAAAACTAATGACTTCGTATGACGCTATAGCATATACATTTATAAAAAGCTTACACTGGCGTAATAAAATTTCACTTAATATATTTTATGCTTCAAAGTAAAACTGTATGTAAAGAAATTATTAAAACCTGGCGTAAATCATGCAATTAAGAGTACCGTTATTACTAATTTATCTTCTGATAACAGCTGTTTTGTTAGGAATTACGCGAAAGAAGTTCCCTTTTTAAGTATTTGCATCAAATTTCTTCGCATACTTCTTTACATCATGTTTCGCTACAAAACTTTCTGTTTAATGCCTGTAAGCCAGTTTTTTATATTAAAAGATATCACGTCTATTATAACCAGATGCCAGAATTCTATTCTAATCACATGTAACCATTTTCTAACTACAGGTGACCGTCTATTATAACCAGATCATTAAATTCGTCTTCCTGAAATTTATATTCTCCTTGCTGACTAATACAAAGAGATTGCCGGTCAACTATTCACGATATAAGCATACAAATTCCTGCAGTTCTGAGGAATCTTGAGTTCTGCAGTTGAACTTGAGAATCTGCAGTTCTGAGGAATATTTTATTGAAGCCGAAATTCTACATCCAGTAGTTACAATTTTGTCAATAGCAGTCAGCAATGGTTACAACAATTAATGAAATTTCTGACTGTATGCAGTACAATCAGTTTCGTATAAATGGAAAAGTCTTTCAATATGCCAACTATCATCTAGCTACGCGCTTAGCAGGAAGGCATAATAGATAGCCCTGGACCAGGTATCCTACTAGCTACGCCCTTTCTTATTGACCTAGATAGAGGGATGCAAAGACCTTCACTTCCCCCTAAAAGGATGCAATTCCCCTTTTTTAATTTCGTACACAACAGACGTTGACTAAAGGTTTAATCTGTTTCTTATCATTCTTTAAGCTTTTTTCTTATAGAAAATTCCAAGCCCAACAACTTTGAATCTTTACCAAATAAGCACATGCTGACCGTCACCTACGATCGCGACAACTTTTTGTTTTCACTCAGCTTAAACGATATAAATCAGTCACAGAAATTCGTTTATAATTATAGGAATTTGCTATAGAGAAGTAAATTGCTTCTTTGTCCTCTCATTTGATAAATGAGCATCATTTTCTGTACGCTGGTGGTTAAGGGGAGGCTTTTTTGAGGTAAACTAGTGACGATAACATCTGAAAGTCTCAGATTTATTCCTTAGGTTAATAGAAAAGGGAAAGAAAATTCTTGTGATTTGATTCTTAATTATAATCGTTATGGTACCTTGAGTTTGGCGAAGTGCTTAGTATTAAATAATTAAAGACACGAACAATATGTTGAATCTGTTCGAAAAATACTTCCACGTGGCCGTCAATTTAAAGTTTCACGGCCATCAATCAGAACTTAAAGAAAGGGTCATATGCACCATGTAAATAACTGCATAAAGTAGCTTGTGTTAATTGAGTTATTGTGATTTTTTCTTTACTATAACTTCTGCGTTTCGTATTACTTACTAGAATGCAAGTTATCATTGAGTGTATGTATGCTGAGAGTTTTGAATCTTTAGGGTAGAAAGCTTCTAGCAATTGAACCTGCTGTCAGTAATTCGTGCCTGCTCTGTTTAAAAGTAATATTCCAGCTTTAGTATTCTCGTTGGCCGATGTGTTAAATTGCACGCTAATAAAATACTTTGATTCCACTTATTCTATTGAATGCACAGTCTTAAACTACGCTGTCAGCATTTGAATTTAATTGCCTGCTATTGTTATATAGCCACAAGTGTGGTTTTGTCGTCAACCCAAGTCATAGCTTTATTTTCAATTTAGACTAAACTAAAAAGATCATTTTATACCTTCTTCAGTGCTTTGTGAATATTGAAAGCGATATCTCGATCCTTGCCCCCTCTACCTCTGCCACTGTCAATGGATATCACCTAACTGTGTAGCTGGTCTAATAATAGTATTAACATTGATCATCATTTTACATAAAATTAGCAACAACCTTTTGTTTGGCGTTGATTTAGTCTAGAACTCAGAGCCGGATTTAAACTTGATAAGGCCTTAAGCTATTTGAGATATGGGGCCTTTTTTTATCTGTTATATTATATTTTAATACTACGTTTTAATTTTTGGGGGTTCCCCAAGAAAGTGGAAGCCCTAAGCTGTAGCCTGTGCAGCTTATACGTAAATCCTGCACTGTTAGAACTCAATCGATTTCGAGAGCAAACGGGTACAGGTACCTCCAACATCAGGAGCAAAGAAATGTAAGAAAGCAGCGGGCGCAACGTCTTATTTGTACCCTATAGCAGTGACGCGAATGAGAAAGTACCGCCATCTAACGGAAAAACTAGTAACGGAAATTGAAAAATTATGTTAATAGAATTTCAAAAGCGTTATGAAGGACTGAATGATATACATTCCGTAAGAGAAAAAAAGTAAGAATGACCTTATTTGTTTACGTAAGCTTTGCATAAGTCATGTGATCTCTGAAATCATCTATATTGTTGGTCTGCGTTAGTTAAACAAAAGTCACGTGATATCGGAAATCATCGGAGCGTATCTTATTGGTCTTAGCAAAACAAACTGAATCTTTGTGTTCAGCTTGAATCGAATGTGAAAAGCTTTAAAAAAATCCAGATCACCACGGACAGAACTTTCTGGATAATTTTTGCAGACCCAAAGTCAAAATTATGATTAAATTCCCAACTCTGTTGAGCTATCGAAGACTTGTTGTTAACTTCGTCTTTTCAGAAGTAAAGGCCCGTTTACAGGTAGCGATATTGTCTGTCAACTTTCCCTTACGATTTTAACTGAGAGAGCTTACTTGTCCACACGGAACGATTTTCTCTTTCGTACAGGAAATGCCTCAACCAGAGGCATAGCTAGGGTTTTCAGCGCCCGGGGACAACTGAAGATTTTGCGCCCCTTTCTGTGTGCCAAGAATAGAAAATACTTCATTCTGCAATTTCAATACATCAGTTTGGTGCCCTTGAATGCTGAGTCCGGGAACATAACCTTGCCCCACCCTAGCTACGCCACTGGCCTCAACCAATCACTGTCCAAGGAAGCGTTCACCTCCTATGTAGCGTCACATTGTCAACAACTGTGTAAGTACGCGTAGACGGGCCGTTTAAACAAAAGTGTATGAAATTGAATTTAGCTCAAAATAATAATGGAAGAAGATTTTCCTTTGATTGCTTCTATAGCAACATGTAAATCTTCGCTACTGCTGCTGCTGCAGAATAAGAAAAAAGAAAACGTATTTGGACAAGAAATTGGGTGAAACTTCGGGAAATTCCATGGAGCCCATAATAACCTTTCCAAGAACTGCGTTTTGAAGACACGGTGGAATTTGGAAAATATTTACGAATAATGCCGTACGATTTTGATTTTTTATTAAACTTAGTGAGCAGAAAAATTAAAAAAACAGGATACGGTTTTGCGTTATGCAATCTCAATATCTGAGAGGCTGCATGTTAGTTTACGATTTCTAGCTGGTGGTAAGTTAATTTTTAGTTTATTAAATCTTTTTATTATTATTTTACAGCGTGTTCTTATTCAAATTTACATTGTTTGCTTAGGATACCTAAACAAATATTGTCAAGACGGATACCAGACATATTGGATGTTTTATGGGAATGCATGCAAAATTACATAAAGGTGAGTTAAAACTTAATATGTTAGTGAGATATATGAGGTCTTATAGTTCTTGAACTTTTAATTAAAAAAAGTTCTATTATACAGAATCAGGATACAATGTTAAGTTGATTTCTAATGAAATTTGTAAATATTGAATTAACTTCAACGTTCGTTTTCCTTAAAATGTGTATAATAAGGTATTACGGTAATGCAGTATATAATTTCTATTTACTGTTATTCTAGTAATGAAATATAACAGTTGCGTTGTGATACTTTGAATTTTTTTTTTTTTTTTTTTTTTTTTTTTTTTTTTTTGTCCTGAAATTTAAAGTCAAGAAAGGAATATTTCAGAATTGAACCGTAGTATTTATTGATAAGAAAATGATTCAGGTTCGATTCTTAAAGTAACAATAATTCTTTCTTCAGCCAAATGACTATTTTTTGCAATGGTCATAACTAAGGCTACTATAAAGGCTATCTCTAGCAGCTCTAGTCATAACTAGCACAGTTTAGTGGTATTTCATAATTTTACTGGTTGTTTGAAAGTTACTGCAAAAACGAAGAAGCTGTCAAAAAATTTCATCCTGTTAATATATACGAATTTCTTATCTGGCAACACTTTATGTTGAAACATAAACAATATACATGGGGGACTGTTCTAAAATTAAGTACGGTGTGTAATCAATGTCTGTGGTATATGATTACGCGAATTTTAGCTCACTTTAGATTACGTGGAAGAATGTGTTATTTATTCCATCTAGCAATAGGAGTATCGTTATTTTGAAGAGTTTGTGTAATTTAATATAACTGAATAATTTTAACCAAGTGTTCATGGACAAGTGTACTGAATTTCCTCGTTTAGTTGACTACTCTTCTGATGAAGAAACTGCTCATTCAAACGAAGATGAGGAACAGGCATTAGATACTCCAAACAGGTGTTTGAAAAAAAAATATTAGTTGATTTAATCACAAAATAAACAAAAGATTTGATGTTTGTAGTAAGAAAAACAGAATTTTAGTGGAGTAATATTTTATCTCTTAACATGATATTACTTTTGAACCTATTTTAAAGAATTTTTGGAGTTATTTACTATGTTTACACGATGTTTAAATCTTTTCATTCATGCATTATTTTGAGTTTTTCCTGGCTGGGAGAATCATGAAATTAAAATAGTTGTTTGTCCATATTTATAGAAGAAACTCGGCTGAAACTCTTACCAAAATAGGAATTTTTCTGTTATAATCAATAATAATGTATTTCAATTAGACATGAACAAAATGACATATTTAGATAATCTAACCTAAGAATCACGCAAGTGATCTCGTATATTGAAGATAATGGTATCCTTCTGTTATCGGGACCGGGATGAGAAATATACTGATGTATGTGTTCATATAAGGATGTATATATGTATGTGCATGTACACATATACAGGTTACATACATTCCTGAATCTGGTCCCAATAGCAGAAAAATACCAAGATAATTATCCAGCATTGTTAATCAGTTTTCAGTGTTTCTGTTAATGGATGTGCACATCATGTTAGGCAAAAATCAGATGTTTCAGTAAATTAAAATATGGTGTAATGTCTGACAAATCCGTTAAAAAAAAAAAAGTGTTGTAATTGACCTAGAATGAGGAAAAAAATTCTGGAAAAGATGGAAAGGGTGTGAATTGTGTATCAGGTTTGATGAACAAGCAAAAATAAAGCATGTATATTAAATGAATGCAGAATAGTAGCTCTGAATGCATGTCATGTCAGATATTGTTACATAGATGTTATTAATAGCCAATATCCTAGTGGTGGCTATATTTTTTCACTCAAGAAGATAAAGTACTTTGCTGATATCGAGACTGGATTCAGAAGCATACGTACATATTCAGAGTAGTCAGACTTAGCTTGGCAAGTTTATCTAAGTCACTAAATATCTACTACCCCTTTTAGAGAGATTAACAAACTAATTTTGGGTGAAATGTTTTCAAGATAATGGACTTGACATGAAGTGGAAGACAAATTATTTTTCTATTGATTTGTTGAAGAAAAAAACTTCTGTAATGAATTTTTATCATGAGTATAATACACTGATAGTTCACATTTAAAATAAGAGGTTGAATAACATGAAACTTGAAAGGCACAGGCATTTTTGCCTACAATCACACATTTTAAGATTTATATCTAAAAAATTTCAATTGATTTTTTTTAATATTTTGAATTGTAGACATATATTTATAGTCATCTTTATGCAATGCATTGCTCAACTTTAAGCATAATTTATCTTGAATTTTCTTTTTCTTTTGGGACACAGTATGCAAGCAAAATTTGGAAATGGGCCAACAAATATGCATTACAGTATTTTAATACCTTAATGGAAACCTGAATCTCGATTCGGTTAATCTTTGGATTATGGTAACTTGGCGATTTTTTGACGACCAACCCTGCTACAGCAACCTGCTAGTTTTTGTTTGGACACCATTTTGTTTTCACGAAGTAAAGGCTTTTTTTTTTACTCAACATTTCAAACATTTTTTTCCAACAATCTGCTAGCCAAATTACGCTTATGCTAGAACTTTTATGGAACAAAAATGCTTAATCATGACGAAAATTAGATGATGCGAAATTCAGAGAAAGTGCAGAATCGCTCACTGCTTGCTACATTTTTAAGAATTGCACATACACGGTATCATCCATGTACACGTCAACTTATTTTCACTTAAAAAAAATCCCAGAATTGCACAAAAATGTCATTGCGCACACTCTTGACTTTATCCATGTATGCTGCTAAAGTCTTAGCTAGTAACCTTTATCGCCTTACCAAAATGTCGCCAAACTACCTGTTACCATATTCTAAAGATTAGCCCTCGATTCTTTTAAATATCTTTAAGCTAAAGTCAACATGTTATATTATAGAATGATCTGCCCTTTAATGTATAATAAATGTTTTATATTATCATGTAGGGTAATAAATCTATAAAGTGATTTCAAAATCTTACACATTATATTTAATCTTTTATAGCCTTTAGAAAGGAATCACAATAATATCACATGTGTGATTTAATTGTCACTTTTTACTGCAACAGATCTTCCTTAAAAAAAAATGCATATAAAAAGTTGATACTGGCATTCTAAGTTACCAAATTTCTAAATTAAAAATTTAAGTAAGCCAAATTCTGGCAACTGTATGCATTACAGTTCTTCAGGTAACCATGCTCATAGCAGCTCGTTGATAAAGAAATTTAATTTTTATATGCTTTCTTTCTTTCTTTTTATTTTTTCTATTGTAATTTTTTTCCCCCTTTAATTCAATTTTAAAATATGAACTTGTGGAATTTATCCACAATGGAAAAACTGCAGTCAAATTTCTGCAAGAGTCTCATTAGCTGCAAAATCTGTAAAGAAACTTTTTTTTTTTTTTTTTGGAATCTGTTGTTTAAGCAATTGTCTCTACTTTTCCTCTAGAACAAAAGAAATAAAAAGAGCTTATAAATAGATTCATTTATTGATTTGGAGGGTAAATATGTAATTAAAATGCTAAACATGTATGTCATAATATTTATGTATGTAGTAAGTAAATTTTTGCACCTGAATTGAATGATGATCTATGTCAGCAGTTCTCAACCTTTTGATTAATGCGTACCATCTAAACAAAAATTGAAAATCTTTAGTACCACCACTACAAAATACTACTACACTAGCACTCTTGAAAAAAGCTCAGGTCGCATAAATTTATGAATGTTAGAGAAAAAAACTCAATCGGGATGTTGGGGTTTTAATTTTTGAATATAATAGTTAAAAATACTTTGCTTCTTTGCATACCACCTATTTTTCTCTTGATCATGATTTTGTGAGTTATATGTTTGTAGTATTTTGGAATACGTTTGACTAGTGTGCGTTGAGTATTTTCATGCATTTTCGTGAAATTTTTCTAATTTATGAGAAAAAAGGAGTGTACATGGATATGGTGAAGAGTGTGCGCAATGCCATTTTTGTGCAATTCTGGGATTTTTTTTTTAAGTGAAAATAAGTCGACGTGTACATGGTTAGTGATATTTAATTAAATGATAGTTATTTTGTGAATTTATGTTTGTAGGAATTTGGTATACGTTTAGTTGAAGTAAACGTGTATGGAAATAATTTAAATATTTGACACTAAGTATTTGTAAATTTTTAATGTTTGCATATAAATTGTTGCTGACGTTTATAATATAATAGATAATTTGAGGTAAAAGGTTTTGGATATTTTATTTATTTTATACTTGGAAATGTTCATTCTTGGAAAGGGTATATACTTTTTCGCGATCAGGTAATTTTATATATGTTCTTTTTACCGTATTTAAAGATTCACAAAATTTTCATGCATTTTCGTGAAATTTTTTTAATTTATGAGAAAAAAGCAGTGTACATGGATATAGTGAAGAGTGTGCGCAATGCCATTTTTGTACAATTCTGTGATGTTTTTTTAAGTAAAAATAAGTCGACGTGTACATGGTTTAGTGATATTTTAATTAAATGATAGTTATTTTGTGAATTTTATGTTTGTAGGAATTTGGTATACATTTCAGTTGAAGTAAACGTGTATGGAAATAATTTAAATATTTGACACTAAGTATTTGTAACTATTTTTAATGTTTGCATATAAATTCGTTGGTGACGTTTATAATATAATAGATTTTAGAGGTAAAAGCTTTTGGATATTTTATTTATTTTATAAGTGAAATGTTCATCCTTGGAAAGGTATATACTTTTTCGCGATCAGGTAATTTCATATATGACTTTTTACCGAGTTTAAAGATTAAGAAAATTTTCATGCAAATTTTTGTAATTATGAGAAAATAGCGTGTAGATGGATAAAGTTAAGAGTGTGTGCAATGCCATTTTGTGCAATTCTGGGATGTTTTTTTAAGTAAAATAAGTCGACGTGTAAATGGTTTATGTGTATGTGTATTTGAAAAACGCGCAAGGAGTTTTTTCGATGTGCACTTTTTCCCAATTTTGCAGTTAATATTTGTCATGATTAAGCAGTTTTTGTTACATAAAATTTCTAGCATAAGTGTAATTCGCTAGTAGATTGTTGGAAAAAGTGTTGAGTAAATAAAAAGAAAAGAAATATGTCTTTACTTCGTGAAGACAAAATGGAGGTGAAAAAAAAAAAGTAGAGGGTTGCTGTAGCAGAGTTGGTCGCCAAATTTTCGCCAAAAAATAGCCAAGTTACCATAATCCAAAGATCAACCGATTATTTAACTCGATAAAACAGATACTATTTATCGAGATACTTAGATAGGTATAGATAAAGCACTTACAATTTTAATACACTGTTTATATGTTATATCTTTATTTTTATACAACATTTATCTTTAAATTATACTGTGTTTCAGTGAACTTCCACCTTTGCCTTTAGAAATTCAAAAGATGTATGGTGAATTATCACAGACGGAAATAAAAGATGATCCTGCTAAACATGGTGGAAAAATAAGAGTATTTCCACATGAAAGAGGTGTGTGGGCTACCTATGTATATATTGAATGTAAGTATAACAATAATATACTTTTATATATGAATATGTGAAACTATTCTTATATGTGCCCTCAGGTCGACAAATGCGGCGACAAATTTCTTGCCAAACATTTTTGGCGAGAAACTCCACGCTGCCATATTACTAGCTAAATTTTTTGTCTACATTTCGAACTTTAAGCTTAAAATGTCTCCAAAAACCACGTTATGAACACACGATTTAAGCTAAAAATCCGAAACAAAAAAATTTAGATAGCAAAAACAGTTTCTAACCAAAAATATCTGACAAGAATCCATGTACACAGCGATATTTTTTAACTTAAAAAAAATCTACAAATTGCACAATCTAGGCAACAAACAAATCTACAAACTATGTACACTTCGCTTTAATAAATTAACATAATGACAATACATTTCAATGAATTCCATGTACACATTATCCAGTTAAAACTTTTAAAAATAAATCTACAAATTGCACAATGTAGGCAACGAATGAATCTACAAACTAAGCACACCTCACTTTAATAAATTAACATAACAACAATAAATTTCAAAGAATATCATGTACACAGCGTTCTGTTTTAACTTTAGAAAACATCTACGAATTGCACAATCTAGGCATTATGCACTAATCAACAAAATAAACTAAAGTAACTAAAATAAATTTCGAACAATTCAAAAAAAACAACAATAACGACAGAATTTCATACTAAAAAAAACAACAAACATAACATTCTACAAAATAAGAATAAAATAAAATGCACTTACCATGAATGAATGCTTTTTTGAACAGCAGAAATACCAATTTCATAGCGCCTTCAACATGTCGCCACGTAATCGCTATCGTATTTATATGACAGTTAGACACACTATCCAGAAAATTCATACTATGGTTCACAAATAAATGGTCAAAACCTTCTTTTCCTAAATCTTTGTGAGATTTCCAGCCATCTGAGAAAATAGTTGTACAAGGCTTAATCCACTCTTTAATACTGCATCAACGTTTCCTTACTTCTATCATGCGTAGGCACTAAAAATAATCTCCCCGACCCTCTTGCAACCAACCACGTCTCTCATTGCAACATAGGCCATTTCAAAGCATGCACGACATGAACCATCGAGCAATTAAATCACTCCAGCAAAAGAGTTTTTAACATCAAATGGGTTGCCATACAACATACTACATTTCATAAAAGTGGTATTCCTTTCCGCCCTATTGTTTCAAATTTAGGCGCTGCTTCCTATCCGTTAGCTAAATATTTAGTTTCTAGATTTTTAACTCTATTAGATAATAACATTTACACCATAAAAAATTCAATAGAGTTTGTAAAAAAAGTTTAAAGCATTTCTCCTAGAAATTTACTCATGGTTTCTTTTGATGTAAAATTGTTACTCACCAATGTTCCAGTGGAGGGTGTATTACGATGTCTAGAAACCAGGCTTCAAGAATTTCATTTCTCTTGCATCAAGATTGATGAGCTAATTTCCCTCACTCAACTCTGTTTGAAACAAACGCATTTTGTTTCCCAAAATAAATATTACAAGCAAACTGAGGGATTAGCCATGGGAAGCCCCGTCAGTCCCATCCTGGACGATATCTACATCCATTATTATGAATCAAAATTGTTTGAAACTTTAAACTTCCCAGCATAGTTCCCCTATGTAGATGATATTTTTACTCTGTTTGAAGGTAATTAAGATGATTTAAATAAAGTTCTTTCAACAGTGAATTCCATTGATTCTGGTATTCAGTTCATCTTTGAACTTGAGACTTGCAATTCTCTTCCGTTTCTCAACATTTTGTTCACACGTAACACATTCAATTTCAGTACTATGGTGTACCGTAAGCCTTCATAGGTTTGCCTTCCGCCACACTTCAAAGCATGTCATCCGACTAAACAAAAGTTAGCTTCATTTTATTCCTATGTTTTCTGTTTTCTGTAAGTTTGCTCCTCCAAACTATCTCTTGATGAAGAACTAAATTATTTAAAAGCAGTAGCTATTGACAGGGGCTTTTCACCCAACATTATTAATCAAACAGTTAAAAAATTCTCATCTCAACACACCAAAAGGCACACTCTTGTTTTAGGACATTATAAAAACTATATTGTCATTCTCTTCTTTCCATCAATTAGCCATAAGGTTGCACGTATTTTAAACTTTTAGATGGTTTATTCTCCCTCATAAATTCCAAGTTCTGTACGGGACCCCATTCTGGATTGAATTCCTGAGGGATTTATACAGGATTCCTTTTCAGTGTGGTTTAATTTACATTGGTCCAAACTAAGAGAGTAAATTCACGTTAAGACACATGCATATGTTAGAAAAAAGGAAACACAGAAGTCTTTGTTGCTTAATTTGTTGATCTGAAAATCACACTTTCAATTTTTCTGCAGCCAAAATTATTCATAAAACATCTTCCATGGGTGAACTGGATTTTCTAGAGGCATTTCACATTCAAAAAAATCTTTCTGATCTAGTTAACGACTCTAATTCCAATTCAACTTTGCCTTCAGCTTTTAAAGAAATAATGTTTTAGTTCTGGTTTCATCAGTAGATGGAGCCAGTAGCTTGACTCTTGTCCGTTCTTTCTTATATTTTCTCATCTAATCATTATATCTTATCTCTTTCATCTGTGCTTTTGCAGCTAAGGATAATGGTTCTGTAAAACCATTGAAACTAGTCCTGTGAAAATTTGAACATAAATGCTGATTTTTGTTGTTTGACATCTAAATTAGTACATCTATCACTGTTAGCTTGGGAGTAACCCATGATGTGATTGTTCTAACGAGTTTTGAGGCTGCAATTACTTGGCTGATAGAAAAATATATCTGTTCTATGACTGTGTGTTCACAGTAAAAAAAAAAAACCTTTCAAATTGCACTTCTTTCATCACTTGGTTTATATTGTTATATAGATGAAACATCTATTTATTTTTGGTGTGCATGAAGCTAAGTATATTCCATTCCGGGCAAGTATTAAATGGTATCATACTCCCATCGTAACTGTCCCTATTGTATGTTATTAAGTGTATGTATATTTGCAATTTTCAGTTCCTTTTCTGGAGGAAAAAAAAAAAAAAAAGTATGTATATATTTATAATGATTCTTTAAATTATTTTTAACTGCCGAATATTGCATTTTATCACTATATTTGAAATAAATTCATGGATAACTGGTTTCGTTTTTACCTAAATGAATACTGGTACCTGCTGTAATTTCTGCAATAAATCATTTTCAATAGAGTTGAAGATCAATATTTTGTTCTTGCAATTTCAGATAACCCAGAGCCAGAATTTTTTTATATGATTGAAAAATTAAAGAACCTGTCTAAATTTCATGGAATAAACTTTGAAACAAGTGACAGTTTTCATGTAAGTTTATCAAGAACAGTTAAATTAAGGCATCATTGGATAGCTCCATTTATTGACTCGCTGAGAGCTCATTTATGTAACTTCATTAAGTAAGTTTCTGTTTTACTCTTTTTATTCTCTAATCATGCAATTAAAAAGTTATATAAAGTGGATTTTGATGCTTTATGAAGAAAATGAAATTGACTAAAATTTCTAAGAAGGTATAATTTTATGTGCATTATGTTTGTTGATGAAAGAACATTAAGTAAGGCCAACATTGCATTTCTTTATTATATAATATTTACAATTACATTTTCTGCTATTTGAAAAACACACTGTCATTTTTATTTCTGATGATTGCTTGCTACAGATTGAAAGATATTGTGAGATTTGCAACATAATATAAATTACAATACTATTGAATAAACAAAATAAAAATAATGATAATTAAAAAATAATGATAGTATTGAAATATATATATACAGTACCCACTGCTTATTAAATTCACTGGTTAATAAAATCAGATGCTTATAACATTCTAATTTGTAGGAACAGAATCAAATATATAGTAATTGCCATTTATTAAATTCATCACTGCTTATTAAGCTCAGATTTGCAAAGGACAGAGTCTTAAGTGCCAGAATACCCTACTTGTACCTATCAAAGCTTTTTCGTAATTAAGTCATTTAATGAATTGTGAACCGTATCTTTATTAAGGTATGTAATACTTCAATAAAGTGGGCTTGACCAAGAATTTCCTACCCCTCTGCCAATCCCTGTACCTGTGAGACACTGTTTACAGAGTTCTGTACCCTTACTGGACTTCAGATGGGCAGAATTTTGTTATCTTTAAATTTAACAGAAAAACCCTGTGGAGGCATTATAAATGATGACGTTTTGTCTTGATTATCATCCAATAAGAAGCAGAAGTGCAACTTCTGTATCTCATATTTTAAGACTCATTCAGAATCTTCTCTTTGGGATACACACAAATTTTCCTGAAATGTTTCTTAGAATTATTGTACATTAATAGTCTTTGAATGGGACAATAGTGGTTATTATGTAAACTGAAGAAAAAGAAATAAAACATTTTTCATGTTTATAAACATGCAGTGGTCGATCGACTTAACATAACATAAATGGCAGAAACTTTCTGCTGGCCAGAAGAGTGAGTTTTGAAATTGAATAAATCACTGGAAGTAACTTTTTTTTATTTTTTATATCCTTTAATTATAATCTGTCAAAAATGCTTTAAGCCTGAAAGAAGAGAATATGTTATAGAAAGATACTGATGTTCTTGGTAAATGCGGTTACAGGCGAAAACATCGAGGAAGAAAACATCATAGAAGATGAAAATATTGTGGTACAAAGCATCATGGGAGAAAAGAAAATAAGGGGAAAGCATTCTGTTGCAAAACATTGTCATAAAAAAAGAGGGGTTAAAAAATTTAACAGTTTAAAAACATTTTCGTTAAAAATATCATGGTAAAATATCAAGCTCCTGCAAATCACTGCATTACACTACATTGTAGACATGCATTTTTCAAGCTTTAAAAGTTGTAAATGTATATTCACATAATGATTTGTGAGCAGAAGAAAGAATGAAGAATATATCTAGTTTTATATTTCATATTTTGGAATTAACTAACTTGCATAGTTAACTAATAAATGTCATTAATTAATTAATCTCTTAAGGTTTTATTGGTAATTTTTCATGAAAAATGGAGTATTAAAAAAAAGGTTAGAAAAAGGAAGATGAAGTTACTTCTATTAAAATTGTTTGGTTAGTTATCAAATTATAAAATTGTTCTCTGTTACCTTTGTTAACCTGACATTCTTTTAAAGAAAATTAAATCTTGTTTTATTCAGTTTATTTGCATTCTTAACATTTTCATGTACAGGATGCAGCTAATCATTTGGATGTCAATTTATTAGTTATGATGAAGCATGCCAGCTACATAATGTTTCAAAATGGAATTCTGTGAACTGCTATAATTAGCATTAATTTTCTACTCATTTTCAGTTTTTGACCCCGGGGGGTGTTCAAATAAGACAGTGCACCAAAAGGAAGGGGCATCCAGACCTGGCATGCGTAAGGCAGCCCTTTACACGGTTAAATTGCCCCAGCCCCTGGATGCCATCTGAGGAGGCGCTATCATCCCCCCGGTCTACGCAGGTACACTTAAATGTTTCACATAGAACATGGTCATAGTTAGAAATCGCCGTTCCCCAGTTTTGAGCAACGGGAGCCCAAGGGCAATTTTCGATATCTGACCATTTAACACCCCCCACAACCAAGAGGTAGACAAGACAGTACCAGTACGCTTCCTGCTGAGCCTGAACCACCGAATAAACGATAGTTCTAGTCATTGTGAAGACAGTTTATTTAACCGAGAAGTCGAAGCTGTCTGATATTGATCTAGCTAGTCGCTGGGATTGCTAGTCTGATTCAACTCCCAGGAATGGTCATCTGAACATAGTTAGCCAAAGCGAATCTGGTTACTAGCGTGGCTACGAGTAGGCCTATGTAGGATTAGGTCAGCGAGAGGCTAGAATTTTCCTCGGCATCGTGCGCTGCACGACCCTGCACGGACCTGCAGATAGGTTTCCTGTGGCATTGAATATATGGCCATTTTTAAGACTGGTGAGAATTTTAAATTAGACACTGAACATTTTTATAATAATTTCAAGTATAAGACATACCTGAAATTTGGAGGCAATTTTTTGAAGAAAAAAGTGATAGTCTGTAAAATATGGTAAGATTATATTTGGTCTAGTACTGCTGCTTTAGTCCTATAACAGACATATAGTGAGTTATCTCTATGTCTGAGATAGTACGACAGTCTTGAGGGTTTTAAAACAAACTTTTTAAGCTAAAGGCATGACTTTGTGCTACAAATAAGCACATCTCGTGAAAATGCAAACTAAAATAAGAATAATCAATTCTAATTAAACATTGATCCATAATCTAAGACTACAGAGTTAAATACTAAGCTATAAGCTGGCTGTATAAATTACTGACACATCAAATTAAAGTATTTGCGGTGAGGTAAATCAAAGGTAAGATAGTTGCATTTAACTAGAGGTGGCAGAATGTAACTATGTAGCATGCATTCCAGAAACACTCTCACTCAAGATCCAAAAATCTCAGCTTAAATACACAACTCACTAATTTGCATTCTGGTGAGGAATATGGAAAGAAGTTAAGGTAAAGATCCAAATCATATTAACTGATTATTTTTAAATAAGAACAAATAGTTAAAAAGTGTGGATTTGTGTAAAAGAAACATCAGAAGAATTGCAAGTTATAGCTATTGTTTCAGATATCAGTGAGAGAAGTTAAGAAGATTAATTTTTATAATAAGTGTGAACTAACGGTATATTAAGACAATGTGTGTATAGAAACTATACACATTATGACTATATATGACTATGGTGTTATAGAAAATATTAAAAGGAATGCAGAAAAAATTATGATATGTCAACATTAACTGAATTGAGAAAAGTATGGTAAGTTTTGAGAAAAGCTCTTGAGTTGAAAAGTGTTGATTAAAAACATTATCAGCAGCGAAATTGAGAAAAAATGTTGATTAACAAAATAAAACAAACATGGATAGAATAATTGTTTGAAAAGTTAGAAATTTCATCAATTATTTAAAAAAAAAATTGTAAATAAAAAAAAAAATAAATTTTCAAAATGCATAAATAGTGTAATTTTAGCACTGAATTTTAATTATTAATTCAAGATTAATTTTTGGATTAGTTGTTAGTTGTTATTTTATTTGATAAGTTTAAAACTGATTATCATAATTTTTAATACAGAAATTGCCATCTATTAAATTCAGCTGCTTAATAAACTCAAATATGTTTGGGAGTGGAAATAATTTAATAAGTGGCAGGTAGCAGGTACTGTAATTAAAATGTACCTAATACATAACAATATGTTGAGTTGATTTATACAAACATTTTATATCTATTTTTTTCAGTATTTGTGTTATTTATATCATTGTTATTTATATAAAATCAAAGTTTTGTTTTCATATATGACAAATTTTACAAAAAGATAAGAGGAATTTCTTTTCTCCGAGTTATGAAATGTTTCTGATTATTATGCTGAAATTTATATTAACACTTTACTGACCGATCACCTATTAATCTGCCTGTTTTCACCAATAGCCTATTAATTGTTTATTTCTCGGAGCTACCTAAAAATAGCCTATCAGTTTGTAGCCATTGCGATAAACAATTGCCATTTGCTATATCATCTGCATTTTATTTTTAGTATTGAGATACAATGCTCACTTTTGTTAACTGTGTTGCTTAGTAAACTCCCACATTTTCACACCGTTTTTAAAAAATTTACTTTTCACGGTGAGCGAAAAAAATGGTATTGGAGAGTTTTATTTAGACGATTTATCAGATTGTCCTGACAGTTATTCAGGACAGGGAGAATCTGCGGCTGAGCGGCCTGTCGGACGTGCATGTGCTGTTGAACTGCTAGCGGCTGGTAAAGTGTTAATTTTTCCCCCTCTGAAATAGCATCATTCATTTTTCATTTGAGAATTGGATGGTTGTAATAAAAAGTTTTTATTAGAGAAAGGTTTCATTTTGTTCAAAATAAGAACTAAGGAGCTTGAATGCTGAACTTATACGTGAGAAGTTAAAGTCAAAACACCATGTTTAAGATGAAAAGCTATAAGTTTATAAGAGTGATCTGTAAACATGAAATGTAAATGACTTTCATTTAACACTTGATATTTAATATATAATTCTTGCTAGGTAAATGAGTTTTTATCATGTGAATTTAAATTGTATGAATAATATGATACTTGTAAAGATTTTTCAATTTTTATATTTTCTTTTTAGATTCAAAATAATGTTTCAATCTTTGGAAGTATATGAAAATGAAGAAAAAACAAGGTAATTTTCCTCAATCATGTGTTCAATATACTGAGCTTTTATTACACCAGTATTATCCATATTATGTTAATTAATAATGATATTATGTCATGCATATTTTTATCCCTGAACATCAATGGCCATTTCACATTTTGTAAGTAAAGAAATGTTAAAAAATATCAGTTCAATACTGTGTTTACTCACATAATAGTCACACTTTTTTTTTTTTTTTTTTTTTTT